AAGAACAAGGACCCGCTGAACGAGACCGTGGTTGGGCTGTACCAAAAGTCTTCGCTGAAGCTGCTGTCTTTCCTTTTCTCCAACTATGCTGGCGCAGAAGCAGGTGAAATTCTCCCCACCCCCGTGTGAAACACTCCGTGTAATTACTCATAACCCAAAGGTGTCCTTGAAAATCAAATAGTCAGCTGTGAGCTTCAGACTGAGCTGGATGTCTTTTGTCTTTGGTCTCTCATTTTCTTCCTCTTCCTTAAGAGATTGAGTTCTATGGAGGTAACAGGGCCTCTCAGGGAACAAAACAGCCAATACCACATTTTTAAAAATTGTTTATAATGTTTATTTATTTTTGAGAGAGAGAGAGAGAGAGAGAGGGCAAGGGCAGAGAGACAGGGAGACACAGAATCTGAAACAGGCTTCAGGCTCTGAGCTGTCAGCACAGAGCCCAACGTGGGGCTGGAACTCACAAACCACGAGATTGTGACTTGAGCTGACGTCAGGTGTTTAACCAACTGAGCCACCCAGGAGCCCGCCAAAACCACATCTTTTAATAACTTCTCAAAATTGAGATGGGGTGGCTGGCTGGTTCAGTTGGAGGAGTGTGCAACTCTTGATCTTGGGGTCGTGAGTTCAAGCCCCACGTTGGGTGTAGAGATTACTTAAACAAATAAAAACGTTTTAAAATATTGAGATATAATTCATGCGCTATACAATCTACTCTTTGGAAAATTCAGTGGTTTTAGTATATTTAAAGGTGTGCAACCATCCATACCATCTAATTCGAGAACACTTTCATCACCCCTGTTACCACTTCACCAGGTCCTGGCAACTACACATCTACTTTCTGTCTCTATGGATCAGCCTACTCTGGTCATTTCATGTAAATGGAATCATACCCTATATGGTCTTTGGTGACTGGCTTCTTTCATGTAGAATGGTTTCAGGGTTTGTCTGTGTTATGGCATGTATCAGTACATCACTTCTATTTATTTTTTTAAGTTTATTTCTTTTGAGAGAGAGCGAGAGAGAGAGAGAGAGCAAGGGAGGGGCGGAGAGAGACGGAGAGAGAATCCCAAGCAGGCTCTGCACTGTCAGCACAGAGCCTGATGCAGGTTGAACCCACACACTGTGAGATCATAACCTGAGCCAAAGTCAAGAGTTGGATACTTAATGGACTGAGCCACCCAGGCACCCCCAGCTCACTTCTTTTTAAGATGAGTAATGTTCCAGTGGATGGAGAGTACACGTTTCCTCTATCCACTCATCAGTTGATGGACATTAGGTTGTCTCCACGTTTAGCTACTGTGAACCCTTCTGTTATGAACATTTGTATACAAGTTTCTGTGTGGGTATATGTTGTCAGTTCTCTTGGGTACATACCTAGAAGTGGAATTGCTGAGTCATATGATAACTCTAGATTTAACTTCTCGAGGAACCTCCAGACTGTTTTCCAATATGGTTGCACAAGCCAGTATCACTCCTTAAGTTACCCATCTTCTATTTTTAAAATAATTGCCAAAATAGGGTTTTAAAATTATGAACTATCTTAAATGCATAAATTGTTAAAAATTACTGTTCATAACATGAAGATATAGGCAATATGTTCGTTCATTCTATAATTAGATCACTTTTAAATATTAACATCCTGTGTACTCTGGGATAGTAAAATGTAAAAACTGAGCACAAGTTTAAACTCAAAGGATGAATATCATTTTCTTCAAATCTAGTGAGGGCATCTCTATGACTGTGTTGCCCAACCGCACTCAGTGATATCACCAAGACTCTACGGAGAAGGCCCTGTGTAGGTCTGGGTCTTGGGAAGTGGCTTTCTGGCCCACCCCGTCCTGCTACCCACATTTCATGCTAGCCCTTGAAGGCAAGGAAGATGGGTGGAGAATGAGGCATGACATTTATTTCCCCTAGGCTAAATCTTGATCGCATGTGGGAGGCAAAATCTGAAATGGAGCCATTCACAAAAAGTAGACCCAATATCACCAACTCCTAGAGAAACCAAAAAGCTAGGTTGTTCCTTTGAGACAAGAAGAGAAACTGACTTGAAGAAAATTCTTGAGATGCATCAGTTGTACTGGTTTCAGTTACTTCCTCATCGCAAGATAAACAGGGACGCAAGAAGGAGGTAGACTCGTGAAAGAAACTATAGTCCATCCAGAGGAGTATCTCAATCCTGCCAACTGTTGAGTTGACTTGTCTGGTTCCTACAGGAGAAGACTCGGCTTTGATACTGAGAGTCTAAGCTACACTCCTGGTCAAATGCCACCCACATCCCACCCCACCCCATGTCTTAGTGATAAAGACGAGTTTTCCCTAATACGACTAGTTTGAGACACATTTTAAAAACAAACAAGAAATAAACACCCGCAGCTCTGTTACGTCAAAAGAAAACCCAAAGTTCCATTCCAGGGTTTGAGGGGTGTGGCCACCACTAAGAAAAAGGAACCCTTGTGCACTGGTGGTGGGAATGTAAATTGGTGCAGCCACTATGGAAAACAGGACGGAGGGTCCTCAAAAAGTTAAAAATGAGGGGCGCCTGGGTGGCGCAGTCGGTTAAGCGTCCGACTTCAGCCAGGTCACGATCTCGCGGTCCGTGAGTTCGAGTCCCGCGTCAGGCTCTGGGCTGATGGCTC